TGGCGAAAAATTTGGTATCCATCAACTGAACCAGTTAATGCTACATCTCGTTCATCTTGAAAAAGATTGCTAGATAAAAGTTCTTGATATCTTGTACCATCAAATATATTCCCAATATTACCATTTAAACCAAAACCTTGATGACAAGTATAGTTAGCACAATATCTCAATTCCTGGGAGCGTATTAGGTCTTGATATTGAATTTTTAGTCAGGTTTTTATTGAAAAATAAGCTATTTGACGTTAAGAAACAAGATCTACATTTGATGTTGCATTTTTATATCTTGGTGTTCCACAATATTCACATTGAATATGTTTCTTATATCGTCCAGTATATGTACAACAGGAATTAATGCACATATCAATCCATATCGGTTCTAAATTTACTATAGATTTTAGCTTTTTTTGATTCGAAATTGGCTTATATTACCATTATTAACTGCTAGTATAGTTTGCCGAAAGGCATCATCTGTTAAGTTACAACGTGATTTAACCTCAAATAATCTTAGAGCACAAGCCATTTCATCTGATAGTTGATTACTACCTGCTGTATTAATTAATTTCATTAATATACATGTATATTAAAATTATTATTTAGTCATTAGATTAAATATCATGATTAACTGTAATAGGAGAATCACTTGAGCTGGAAAATTCATCAATTTTGGAACTATTAAAAATTTCATCAATTCCAGAACTGTTGGAAAATTCATCAATTTCAGAACTGTTAGAAATTCGTCAACTTCAGTATTTGTTAAAGATTTATCATCTACATATATCCAATCATCAATATCCATAGGCGAATCAAATATACTATATAATAAACTGCTACTTTCAGATCTATAAATAAATATATAGTTAAAAATATTTGCAAAATATACAATAAAATTTATATTGTACCTTCTTAAGGTATCATCAATTATTAAATCAGAACTTGAACTTAAGCTTGAAAGTTTTTCTTGATCACGATCAGATTTACGGTGTCTAGTTCTGGTAGCTTTGGCTATTAAAAGACCATTTGCATTTTTTTGTAAACATTTTGAACAAGTACAAAGAACTTTAACTTGTGTATTTTTTTCTTTAATACTGCTTGACATTTTTAATATTTTTAGCCGTATAACATTTAATATAATAATACTGTATATTGTTGCATTCAGTTCTTTATGGTTTATATTTATAAACAAATGTATGATATAGCAGAAGGATTTTAATTATGTAATAATGTAGCAATAATTATTCAATAAAAATTGAATATATCAGTACTTCCTCAACGTCAGCGCTCTATACTTTACGGAGTCAATTTTATTAAATGTTGATCATTGCGAAATTACTATGGCTATTAAAAATATCTATCTAAAGGATTATCGGGAAGTTTCTATATTATTAAAAATATCATTCAAAGTATTCTTTATCCCAACCATCGATTAACCCCTTATATACATTATTTTAAAAAGGACAACTCGCTCAGAGGACAAATTGACTAGAGACCATTTTGGCCAGTCGTCAATTTGGCCAGATGTCAATTCGTCCTGTGGTCAACTTGCCAAGTGATCAATTTGGCCTACGCCGATCTTCAAATTTAACGCAAACTACTAACTTTATTTAGCAAACAATGCAAACAATATAATCAGAGTTACTAATATTTTAATTAATTAATTTTATTTGAAAGTATTACATATTGCATATGATGTAGTCTAATTGTAACAATATCTATATTATTAATAAACTTTTTTAAGACACGTAATTTTTAAGACACGTAATTACAATGTAATTATATAATTAATATTAC